ATCTATCTATCTATCTATCTATCTATCTATCTATCTATCTATCTATCAGGAAGCATTTTTCTGTTATGCTTATCATCATCATCATGGAAAGTAATGTTCCGATTGAAATTCAGTCTCAACGAGCATCAGGCTCTACTACATCTTAAATATGTTTCCTGTTAAGAATTTAGCTTAAAAGGAAACACCTGTTAAACACTAAGTCGTAGCACAGCTGCCCATGTTCTATGACTTTGATGTTGGCATTATTCAAATGCACGAGAAGATTAAGCTTCTCTAAACAACATCAACCTGCTGGCCACCAACACACAGTGTAATCAGGCATTTGAAGGATAAAACATGTTAGTGCAAAATAAAGTTAATCTCTTAAAATGTTTGTTTTCTGTAATCTAATCAAGATTTCCTTCAAATGGTGGAATTCCAAGGATGTTATAGACATCCAATGCAGCCTTTAAAGATTTCAGATAATGGCCAAAAGCATTACTGCAGAATGTTAACTAGTTGCTATTAATTAGTGTAACTCCTGTACAAACAAATTCCTGCAGAGGCATTCACACACACGCACACACACATATATACCTATGTATGGTACTTACATATATACATATATATGGTACATACATATATACACATATATGGTATATATATATATATATATATATATATATATATATATATATATATATATATATATATATATATATATGCGTGTGTGTGTGTGTGTGCAGTTTCTACAAGACTTTGATGGCGAAATCTATTCTCAGTATTTCCAAGAAAGGAAAACAGAGAACGTCCACCCGTGTCATCTTTAGAAATATGCGCCACTAAACATAAATAAAGATTTTTAAAGATCCTGCTTGGGGAGCCTTGACGCGGGGTAATTGTTCTTAATCCAAAACGGAGACTACTGCACTGACGCCTACAAATCACACGAGGTTAAGAAGCACGAGGAGTCATCACTGATCTCAGAACAGTGCCATAATGGGACGCTGAGCGCAAAAGACTCAAACGGCTTGGACATCTTTAAACGATTCCAAAGTGATATGTGGGCTAAGCTACCGCACAACTATTAAGGCTCATCCTGATTGTGAGGATTCCTTTTTCATCAAAGGCTTTTATGTAATTTCTGCTGGTGCTGTCCGGCGCGCCATAGAAATGTTTTCAGTGAGTCTGGACACATTTATTGTCCTGTTCCTTTCGACGTGTGGAGCCTATGTGTTTGCCGCTTGCAAAAACACGACTGAGGCCAATGAAACCTTTCCAAATTAAGTCAAGTCAACTGGGGGTGTTCCCCAATTAGTCATATAAACAGATAAAGCTGGCGAAAAGTTGCAGTTCATCTTTGCAACCAGCTTTTAGACCAGATATATAGTTGCACTCAGAGTTTATTATTATTATTATTATTATTATTATTATTATTATTATTATTATT